CCCCCAAGTTTCACCTCTCTTAAAAACCGCTTGCTTACACAATCAGACATAAAAATACAAAAGGATCCCAGCACACTATTACTGACAAATTGCTGACCTTCTCATTTTTACCATATAATTATAAAATAAATTAATTGAAATATCAATATTGTATTTACCTTTCAGTGTCTATAGAGCCATACAAACAAGTCATTGTATGGATCTTTAGTTTTTACTGACTTCGCTATTGCTTTTTTTCTGTAGCCTGTTGTAGAACTAGGCAAATGTCTAGATGAGTTGATGCACCCCCTAGAAGAGTTCTGTGAGAAATGAGAACCACTGCTCTACGGCTCCCAGGTTTCCATCTACAGCAGGAGTGATCTGCACATAGCCGCTGCAATATGAAATCTACCACCAAGCTGGGGCAGTCAATGGGATTGGTTTGAAGGCAGTATCCCACTGTCACGTGCTTGTGCTGCAGGACTTGGCAATGCATTGCCACAAGGCCTTTAAAACCTCGATCCTCACGTCTATTGAATTGCTCTCATAGAAGTGATGACTGCTCACCAGCCCTGCTGCAGGTAGCGCTCACATCCGGGGTTTAGTGGTTTCAGGACGGGGCAGCCCCCACGTTGTTGTCATTTGAGTATGCTCCCTGCACAAAGCTCTCCTCCTTGCCCAGTGTGTTAAAGTCAGCACGCCAGGCTTTTTCCTCTCCAAATGTCCTTAGGATATCGGTCAAATACTGGAACGTTTGATGAGCTGAAACCCCAGATGCTGCTTTGTTACCAGTGCATTGTCAGAGTCTATTTAAAGAGGAAGCCCAAACACCAGACTCAGAGGAGGAGAATTGAAAGGGATCAATGACGTTATTACCAGCAAGGTTAGATACAGAGGCAGTTGTATCCCTGGGACACCAAGGCAGGCTGCATTAGCAGTATATTCGAGTAGCTACAGCAACTACTCTAGGAAACTGAAATTCCAGGTGCTAGTCCCAGCTCTGCCCTTGACCTGCCATGTGTCCTTGGGTGAGTCACTGCTACTCTTTGTGCCTCAGTTTCCCCATCCATGAAATGGGGATAATGATATTTGCCTTTCTTTGTAAAGTGTGGGGATCTGTAGATGACAAAGCATATAGAGGTGCCAAGGGTGATTTATTGTCCATGCCAGTCATAAGCTGACAGGAAGGATGGTCTTGTGGTTCAAGCTCAGGAATGGAAGGCAGGAGGCGTGGGGTCTAGTCCTGGCTCTGCTGTGACCTTGGACAATTCACTGCCATTCTCTGTGCCTCGTAAAATGGAGATATCGGTGTTTCCTACACCACAATGGTGTTGTGGGGCTGAAAGCATTAACCCCTATAAAATGTTCAGAGATCCTTGCATAAAAACTGCTACAGAAGGGGCAAATGCTGTTTAGAAAACACCGTAAATGTCCAAGCACTATACAAAGGGTTGGCCCCAAAGAGTTTACAGCCAACGAGACCTGGATCAGTAATTCAGGAAAGGGGCAGTACAGGGAGACTGCTGGGGAGGATCAGGAGGGAGGCAGTGTTCCTGGAAGGTGTGGGTTTGAAGGAAGAGGGAGCCAAACTGGACCCTGTGCCGCATTAGTATTCAAGCCTGGCACAGAGAGTCACGTCTCCCTCCCAGAATGGACCAGGGCTGTCTGCCTGCCAGCTGCTGTACTCCAGAAACGTGGCGACTCAGAGACATGAAAATAACAGGGACTTTCCAAAGTGAGTCCATTTATTAACTGATGAAAGGTGAAATGAGCTGTCAGCAGAGCAACGCTCCCATTCAGGCTTCTGCTAAATGATGAAGCTTCTGCTGAAGGGTATTGACCCCTCCAGTGACTGCAAAGGAACGGCAGGGAGAGAACAGAGCGATGTTAGCCCAGCACACCGTCAGCATGGCATCCATAGCCAACCACTGACTATCCCGGTGGCTGGGATCTCACTGACTAAGCATGGAGATTCTTACAGCAGGGACTGGCTCTCACCACGTGTTTGTACATTGCCTGGCACATGCTTCCCTACCTCCTCGGGGTGTTGAGAGGACAAACCCATTAAAGGCTGTGAGATGCTCAGATACTATGCGAGTGGGAGCCAAAGAAGTACCATAGATAAGAGCCGGCATTTCACTGACGGATAAATGCGAGAGATAAGAAGTGATGGGGCCAAAGCAAATCTCCAGATTTTTTGTGTATGTCTCGGTCACATCCCAAATCTGTCTCCAGTCTATACGTACAGTGTTTTACCACCAGTGTGTAGAGTGCTCGGGGATATTTGCACACAGGAGATGGTCATGATTGCCCCCTCTGGCCTGACAGTGTATGAATGGGTGGCAGGGATGCTCAAGACCTCTGAAAGTCAGTCCCTGGAGTCCCTTCTCAATTTGCCCCCAAGTTCATTAAGAGAAATCCCATGTCTTTGTGACAACAGCATCTTAGTTGATACTGTGATTGAACAGGTGACCTCCAGAGCTAAAAGTGTGAGTCACTAGAGCTTGAATTTAGGGGACAGGTTCTACAGGTGGAACGGTAACAGACACTCGCTCCACAGACACAAAAGCGGAGGATGCCTCACACCCGTGTCCCAGGGGGTTTTATAGATTTTAAGGCTAGATCATCTAGTCTGACCTCTGGTATAATACAGGCCAGAGGGACTTCCCTGAATTCATTCCTGCTTCAAGTCCAGGATCTTTTAAAAAATCCTCCACAATCCTTGGTAAACTGATCTAATAGCTAATTATCCTCACTGTTTAAAATGTGCATCTTATTTATAGAATCATAGAACTGGAAGGGCCCTCGAGAGGTCATCTAGTCCAGTCCCCTGCACTCAGGCAGGACTAAGTATTATCTAGACCATCCCTGACAGGTATTTGTCCAACATGCTCTTAAAAGTCTCCAGTGATGGAGATTCCACCACCTCCCCAGGCAATTTATTCCAGTGCTCAACCATCCTGGCAGTTAGGAAGTTTTTCCTGATGTCCAACCTAAACCTCCTTTGCTGCAATTTAAGCCCATTGCTTCTTGTCCTATCCTCAGAGGTTAAGAAGAATAATTCTTCTCCTTCCTCCTTGTAACAACCTTTTAGGTACTTGAAAACTGTTATCATGTCCCCTCTCAATCTTCTCTTTTCCAGACTAAACAAACCCAATTTTTTAAATCTTCTCTCATAGGTCATTTCTAGACCGTTTTTGTTGCTCTTTTCTGGACTTTCTCCAATTTGTCCACATCTTTCCTGAAATGTGGCGCCCAGAACTGGACACAATACTCCAGTTGAGGCCGTATCAGTGTGGAGTAGAGCAGAAGAATTATTTCTTGTGTCTTGCTTACAACACTTCTAGCGTGTATTTGTCTCACTTCAGCTTCCAGCCATTAACTCTTATTATAACTTTGTCTGCTAGATTGAAGAACCCTCTGTTAACAAATTTCTGTTCCCCATGCAGGTATTTATAGCCTGTAATCCAGCCTCAATCTCCTCTTTCATAACTTAACTGGAGTATCCTCCTTGTGTTTTATAGGGAAAGCCTCAATTGTGAGATTTGGGAATTTGAGGATTAAAATGGCTGAAGTGTAGATTAGGCGCTGACAACACCCAGCTTGTGTTCCAGACAGGAAGAAGGGCCCCAAAGTCTTTGCCTTGGCCCGCCGATGGTCTCTGCACCCTGCTGCACATGAGAAGTCTCTTCCCCCTCTACAGTTGGAGGAGCAGAGTGAAACTGAAAGGAGACTGCAGAGCTTCGCAGAGCTTCAATTAGTTCAGCAGATCTCTAGGGAGGAAGAGAATAAAAAAGCAGGGGTGGGCCAACCCAACCTCCACCTTCACTGACCCGCCTAGAAACATGCTCTGTTTGGAATCCTCATGCTTCAATACATCATCTGACCAGCAGCTGGGGCTGGAGCGCTCTGTATAAATATTGTACTAAAGGCTCTGTGCATTATGACTTTAAGGTTTCCTCTGAAGCATGAGCAGCTGCTCCTTGCCAGAGGCAGGAGATATTGGTCTAGATCAGTGGTTCCCAAACTGGAGTTCACAAAATGTTACAGGGGGTTCTTGGGAAAAAATTCCCTAATGGCGGACTGAGCTGTCCCTAGGGACCCCGGACAGCACGGGGCCAGCAGCCCGGAGCCCCTGGACTTCCAAGAGCTAAGCAGATCAAAGCAAGCATCTCTATCACACTGAGGAGATTTAAACTTCAAGACTCCTTATAAGAAATGGAAAGGGAGGTGGATATTTTTTGCTGTTTTTAAAATGAAATAGGCAGCTAATATTGTTTTTAAAATTATGATGAAGAACAAGTTTAAGCTTTGTTGTAATGTGCATTGTTTGCCTGCTTGTGTAGGAGGAACTCTGAGTTGGCTTCTTAAATACCTTCCTGCTGTTTCACATCTGATACTCCTTGATGAAACATAGGAGCCTTGTCTTATAACAGGCTTATTCAAAGAGATACGAGCTACAAAAGTGAGATCTTGGAAGAGTGTTGCCGTTTTCATAATGTAATAATACTGTAATGATAAATAAATAATAAATGTGTAATAAGCATGTCATAAAAACAAATTGTGTATTTCCAAGATCACAGCTTTTATAATTTATACTCAGGTAAAGGAGAAAATCCCTGGAAATATTCATTTTTAGGAGGGGGTTCGCGAGACTTGACATTTTTGTGAAAGGGGTTCACAGGTTGTTAAAGTTTGGGAACCACTGGTCTAGATGAAACTAACGAACAATCTATTCCAGTATAGTAAACACTTATTAGCTTTTCAATCCAGCAATCTCAGTACAGGGGAAAACTCCATAGAGTCTGAATGTTTTACTGTACCAGGAGATTCTGTACACAGATCCCAAGTTGAGGAGGGAGATCTACTCACTGTGACTGATCGTGGTAACTGGACAGCTCTGCTGTGTGTGTGTGTGTGTGTGTGTGTGTGTGTGTGCGCGCCCATGTGAGATACCACATACTACAGTAGGCCCAAGGTGACAACAACATTGTGCCGAGACTGAAGCATTTCTATAAAATGTCAGTTTTAATGTTAATACCAGAAATGTGTCAAAAAAGGATGAATCTGAAAGTGCCTTTTCTACCCCCATCACCACGCTAAAGGTCTATGTATATCTCTGCATCTTTATCAAGAGGAGAGCAATGACTGGATTGTTAGGTCTGCACCTGCCAATAGCAGATGGAGTGTGAAATGGTTTAATTGTTATTCTCATGGGGTAGAATCCACCCCTGTGCAAAGGGCCCATCCAAGTCCTTATGCAATTCATAGTCCTGGTGCAGACCCTTAAAATTCATGTGATTTTTAAAAAGAAATGTGGGGCTCATTTAGGTGCCTTCTGCTTTTGGAGCTGTTAAGCATTATGTTTTTACATTTTTCTACACAAGCATGAGGGCTAGAGACCTAATTTTCTTTAAAATGAAAGCCGAGATTCCCACAGAAATCACAGGACTCCGGGAGCTGGGATCCTTCTGTGCTGAAGTAATTTCCCCCCAAAAGGATTAAGATGAGGGACACACAATTGGGAATGAACCTAACTGTATTCTAAGGTTCAATCACTGGAGCTCTGCAGCTACACTGGATAGAGGAAACTATCCCAGTCATATTAGCACGAGCTGCCACAGAGCGTTACCAATTTTCAACAAATGAACGTCCACATTCTTGTGACATATCAAAACTCGGCTTCTCCTCCCAGTCGTTATAATAGCAAATAATCAATGATTAGGCCAGCTCTTTGGCTGGAATAAACTGGCACACTTCTGCTGAAATCAGTGGAGCTACACTCCCATTTCCACCATCTGAGGTTTTGGCCCTTAGCATTTTACCTCCTCCCTGCCTGGCGGGATGGGAGTTTGTCCCAGCAAGGGCTGAATTTGCCATTTTTACAGCCCTTCACAATTTTACCACCCTCTCCAACACATTTGACCGGCAGCTCTGTCCTTAACCTAACTCACCACTTTACAACATGGTCACCCAAGGACAGAGCTCTCTGGTAAAACCTGATCTGTGCCTCCAATTAATAACCCAACCGGGCGATGATTGATCGTCAACTGGCTCCTGGCGATGATTGATTACGAAATATTTGGATTTCTTCGCTTGTATTTTCAGGTCTGTGAGACTCCCCCACAGTGAGGTGACCCATCCAACTGCTCATGACGGGGGAGGCTAGTGTGTTTTCTTCCCTTTTAACGAAGCTCTATGCCGCTTACTAGCTCTCCTGCCACACACAACCTCACTCCTCCTCCTCTACTTAATCACTCAAGGTTGATGCGACTTTATATGAACCTGGCTTGAGTCATGTAAAACTTGGCGTCATGCAGTACTGGAGAAAGACGGACAGAAACAGTTCTGCTGTGGGTGGAATGACGGGCGAGACCTTGAGGATATTCGAATTTTCACACTAGACAGGGCTGCTCATTTCAGACTCAAGTTTCATTTGGAATTCCTCCACAACCATGTTTTTCTTTCTCCATTTCCTCCTAACGTTTGCCTCAGCTGTGCGCTACGTTTTTTAGTTCCTCGTGAATCGTAATGGGAAAGCCCCGGGGGTTATGTTCAATGACAGAGAAAAGGGTAGAAGATTTGGCACAGGAGAGAGGCTGTGGAATGAATGCCACCTGTCTGACTTTCAGAGATGACGGGAGCGTCGGCAGTATTAATCGGAGGCAGATGTAGGCCAGACCCTCAGCACTGACTCAATGATGTCAATGCAGCTGCGTCCATTGACCCCAACCGAGCCTCTGGGCTGGTAGCCACACGCTTCCTACAGTAGATTCCCAACGCATACCCCCACACAGAAGAAAAATTAATAACAGCCACACTTAACTTACAGACAAGTAATCAGACCCATTAAAGAGCTGGGGGAGGGATTAATTCCCAGGGAAAGGCCTCCAGAACTCAATGTGTGACACCAAATGACAGCTGAGGGGGTGAAGGTGGTAGTATTTGCAAACCCCCTGGAGGGAGGGGAATGGGTGTCGAGATGAAGCCAAGCACAGGAAAAGGGAATTCAGGATGCACAGCAGGAAACACTGCTGCCGGACCCGAGGGAGGTGATCAAGGGCCCTTTTCGTGAATCACTTAACGAGACACAGTCCATTTGAAATCTAGGACGTTTCAACAGTGGGGTTTTTAAGTGTGTTTCAGGCCTTATCTCGCCTCTTTTGGGCCACCCCATGTCTCTAAATGTTAGTGGCTGTGTGAAAGGCCCATCCCAACCAACGGGGGAACTGGCCTGACAGGGCCACCACTGAAACAGCCTGTGCACAAAGGGGAAGACTCTCGAAAGCGCAATGAGCGGTGGGCACCTCACACCCTCTGTGCCTCTGAAAATCTACCCCCCGAGTGTTGTCTGGAGAACACTATTTTTCACTCTTTCAGCTCCAATGACCTTAACGGTGACTTCAACCAGTGGCATGCTAAAAGGCCTACAGTCTCTCGGGGGTTATTGTTTAAAGTGGTGACCATGTCCCTTTAAACCAGGATATGACAAAGCACCACAGGAAACACTGAAAAGGACCAATCTGGCCTCGGCAGGAGTTGGGGTTGGATCCTGCCCACAAGGAAATCAGTAATGAAGCTTTAATTGACTCAAAGGTGGAGGGTCAAGCCTGAGGTCACATCACACTTTTGTACCACCCCTCCGATTCACCTCACAGGGACTCTTCCCTCTCTCATCTCCCTGGGCCGACTACAGCAACTGCTGATGGGGGAAAGCAACATAAGGGAAAGACTGAATGTCTTTTTAGCAACCCAACCACGAATGCCCTGTGAGGCCCCAGAGGTCCCTAGATCAGTTAGGGACTAGATGGTCTTTCCCATCTCAAATGCCAATGAGTGGAACATTTGGTAACATCACTCCGGCCCTCCTGCATGGCCGTCATTTGGCTGGAAAAGAATGAGGACATGTGGAAGGAAGTGGAGCCAGTCCGGGAAATCCCGAAAACCCTCGTCGTTGCTCCATTCGCTTCGCATCCCCAGCGGCTCTGCTGTGGTCTGGGAACTCAGCTACAGAACGCAGACGTCGTTGTTGCTGGACACATCGGTGTACTGGCAGAGCTGTGCGGCCGGGGGCTCCAGTCTGTTTCCGCCCGAGACCGGCTTGCAGAGGTGAGTCTCCCATTTGGACTTGGGCACGGCTGGGCTCTTCTGCCTGAGTGTATCGCCACGGTCACAGTACGTCACGCACCACTGACATGGCATGAACCGCTTGGCTCGGTGCTTGGTCTTTGGCCTGGGTTCTGGGGCCGCCCCGCTCGGAGCAGCAGCACCTGTTCTGGAGCTCTGCGGTTCCCTCTGGCCTTTCAACCTGCTCCTCCTCCTCTGGATGGGATCCAGGCTGAGGTCGGACTGTGAGGAGCAGCTCTCGTTCCAACCCGTGCCAGAGCTCAGGCTCCTCAGGGGCAGGGCGAGGTGTAAGGCCTTCCAGAACTTGGAGCCAGATGGCTTGGATTTATCCCCGGCCCATGTCACAAAGGAGACGGACTCCTTCAGCTGGAGAATGCCAGGATGGGTGATCGGCAGCGGCCTGTACTCCACCACAACGAGCTTGGTGGAGAGGGCGTTCTGGCACACGAGGCCCAGCTTGAACTCCAACACGCTGATGCTCTTCTCCGTCAGGTAATCGGGGCTCAGCACCACGATCATCCTCCGGCTTCGCTGAATGAAGTCGAAAACTGCCTCGGTGGTATCTAGAGAGGCAAGGGCGGGAGAGGAGAACAAAGCCAAATGAGGCTATTTCACTGGACACATGCATTGCCCTTCCCAGCTGGAGAAGAGAGAAATTGGTTAGTGCAACCCAGCAAACTTTTACTTGCCCATGGTCCCGGCACACAACAAATCTCAATAGCTGATTTTTCAGCATCCCCATCATGGTGAGGGTTGGCAGGCAGATTCTGTGTCTGTCTGGTACGTTTTCTTTACAAGGCTGCTAGTGATTTTAGGAGCAAACCATACTAAGTCAGATCAGTGTTTGATCTGGGCCAGCATTCTGTCCCCAGCACTGCCAGGGGCACCTAATTCACAGGAAGGAGCAAAAGTCTCCCCAAGGGATAGGTAGGGAATTACCCACCTATAGGGTTTACAGCTGTTTTGCATCACTAGAGCAATGCAAATGTCTTTTAGAAGATATCTCGGAATTAGTGTGGGGGCAGGTCTCTGGCCTGTGCTCTGCAGGAGGTCAGACTAGATGATCAAAAATGGTCCCTTCTGGCTTGGAATCTAGGAAAGCAAACAGTTCACCTGGCTCCGAGAGCCTGTTTTTCAGAAGGCTACACCTGTAATGGACATCATTGGGGGCTTCTTGCCAACTCCAGAAAGCCACCTCTTCTTGTCTCACATTGGACATCCAAAAATTGAAGCATCCCAAATTAGAGACCTTTGAAAATGTTGGCCCTTGACTCCTCTGTGTCTCAGTTCACGCTTCTCTAAAATGGGGATAATAAAAGTCCTGCCTTGCAGAGGGCTTCATTAAAGTTTGTACAGTAAGGCGAGCTCCTTAGATGGAAAGGTGGAAGACAAACCCCGTGTATTTACTATTATTAATCGTACTGAAATGGAACTGAACCAAGGAACAGTCTTAGCCTTTCTGGCTACAGCTCAGATGATGCAGGTTATACAAAGTGTATTAGTGGCTGATAAATGCAAGAGTTGTGACTAATGGCTTCACAGTGAATGGGATGGGGATTAATAGGGCTGTGCCACTTAGCAAATTCACTCACCCGAATTGACATCATTGGGTTTTCATGGTAATAAACACAGAAGGGTTGGCCACACACTGTGAGTGATGGCATCTGGCACAGGGTAGCTGGGACTTGGTAGTGTTTGACCGGGGCAGAGCGTGCTGGAGGGAAAACTTTAATAAACACAAGAAGAAAAATCCCCTATAAAGAGCTTCCTTTGCACAGGAGAACAAACCCAGCAACTTCCGTCGCCCTTGTTCAGATCCCTGACGTGTAGGAGCTGCCACACGGGAAGGTTACGTTGCTGCATCATTCAGCAGTTTTAACAAGCTTGTCTGGTCTCAGCTGTGCAATGCAGAACCAGACTGGGGGGAGGACAGAGATTGGCTTTTCCAGCAGGAAATGTTACTCACTAGTGATTTCATTGTGAAGGTCTCTGGTCTGGTGCCTGCACATTTAGGTAGCATCTGTGTGCACCGCAGAGCACCCCAAAGTTATGTGCAAAAGGAATCTAAAAGTGACGCATTTCTATTAGCCCTTTAAAGGCTGTAAAGTTAGAGTATGTCTAGTGACCTAAGCATTCATTTGGCTAGCAGTCTGGAAAGACTAGTTTATGCATCAACAACCTGCTAGTATGTAGATAGGAAAGGGGTAAGCCTGAGCAGAATGAGAAGCCTTCCAGACAAACGGATGATGGGAGAATAAGCGCCTAAGGGAGAGGCTGACTTTGATTAAGGATGAATTCCTAGCTCTGACACAGACTTCCTGTGTGACCTTGGGCATGTCACTTACTCATTCTGTGCCTCAGTTTCCCCATCTGTAAAATGGGGGTAATAGCCATGCCATCTCCCTTTTGTCTTTTTAGACTGAAAGCTCTTCAGGGCAGGAACTTTCTGTGTGTGTGTGTGTGTGTGTGTGCGCGCGTGCGCGCAGCCCCTACAACAAGGGGGCCCCTGGTTGGGGCCTTTGGGTGCTATTTATAACATGAATAGGTACCACTATTTGGATGGCATACATGTGACTGAGGTGGTACCTAGGCCCCATGATGCTGGGTCTCTGCACAGGGGTGACTTCCACCCGCTAGGGTTCTATTTACAGATGTTGCCACCAGGACAGAACATTTTGCCTTGGCTACACATATTTGCTGAGGAAGAAATGGAGTAAAATGAAACTCAGGAGAACCGTGCAAAGACTGAAATACAAAAGTGAAAATAAACATTTTATTTAAAAGTAAAAGATATATATAAGCGAACAACACTGATACGTCACAAAAGTGAGAAAACGTAGAATGGAAAAAGGCCTTAAAACAGCAAATGAAATGGAAAGCACAGTCCATTCCAATGTGTGCAAAGCCAGTTGAAGGGTTAAAATCCATGTGCATTTTATGTAACAACCTGGTATGTGGATTGTGCCAGCTCTTTTTCAGACCCAAAGTCCAGAGTTTGGTCTGGAGACCAGAGGCCTAGCAAATAGTGATTAGCTAAGAGAAAGCTGGGGTAAACAAGACAACATTGCCTTTGCTAAGATGTGCTTGGTCAGTAGAAATGCCAGATGTTGAAGCAAGAACTGAATAATTATGTTTCATCCAATGTTTCAAATTGAACAAAGGATCCCTGTTCCTATTGTGTTTCTCCTGTAGGAAAACAGTCTTCCCACAGATCCAACCTTGAGTCTATGAAAAGTTGGCACATGTCAGTATAAAGATATGGCATCCTTCCACCTCCCTTCCCAGGGACCAATGCCCTGCCTTAAGACATAAAGGAGACAATCTGTACGGTCATGTACTTTCACTGTTTCTTTGCTTTAACCCCTAGATATGTACCTGTTGGACAATCAAAGGAGTTGCTCCATTCCTATGGACCCCAAATCAGAATTCAACACATATATTTTATACTAATAACATTTTATCAAAGTACTAATTAAATGTTAACTTGCTAACTTGAGACCATGGGCGGAGACATTGTGTAACCTTTTAACCATTGGCTAATGTGCTATCTTGTCTTGCTGCAAAACCTATCCCGGGGTGTGGAACTGCCTACCCCGTCACTTTCCCCCGCCCATGGAAAATCTATATATTCCATTGTAATCAATTGATTGACAGTGTCTCTGAGCCTAATAAGCCAAGTGACCCTCCACCAGCGCTGTGTGTAATAAACCCCTATGCTTGACCTCTACACGGTGTGGATTTATGTCCATCACCGGTCCTCCTGCGCAGTGAGATAAAATGAAGGACTTTACATTTAGCTATCTATTGACTAATGTAACGTTACAGCACGGAGTCAGATGAACGCACCAAATTAAAGGTACGAGCTGTGCTAAAATCCTGCACTGGGAACCAAATGCCATTCATAAATAAGTGGCTAGGCTTATTTGGGACGGGCCCCAGCATCTGCCCTACGCATGGGACATTCAAAAAGCCAAACGCTGGCCTAACAGCTCTCTTTGCAGTCAATGGTAACTTGCATGCTTTTATTCTTCATTGAATTGATGGAGATCGCCTGCCTCTTGGTAATCCTGTCGGGGAATGGGCACAAGCATCTTGAATCATTGATGTTGATGGAGTTACACTGACTGACACCAGAGGAGGATCTGGTCCATTATTATTTTTTAAACTTTTTAAATCAGACAAGTAAAATTAAACACAGGGATTTCTTTCCTAAGATAAATCTCTACCACCCTATTAACAAAGGATCTCCTGGTACCTAAGCCAGCGGTGAGATGCAAGATGCTAATGTCTGGGAGATGTAGGGACATTCAGATTTCATGCATGCAGGCTGTTTTTTAAATCAACTTAGAATACAACAAAAAGCGTTTGGAGTGTGAAGTGGGGCCTCCCATCCTGCATGCAGATGTCAGAGGTGCTTGAAGATAACTCTGCCTATGTTTATAGCAAGGAGATGCTTAACGTTTCCAAAGCCCCAACAGGAAAAAATGGGACAAAACGATGCACATTACAGGTAGGACCGGCTCCAGGGTTTTTGTTGCCCCAAGCAGCGGGAAAAAAAAAAAGCCGCAATTGCAATTGCGATCGGCGGCACTCCGGCGGCAGCTCCACCGCGCCGCTTTCTTCTTCGGCGGTAATTCGGCGGCAGGTGCTTCCCTCCAAAAGGGACCTGCCTCCGAATTGCTGCCGAACAGGCCGATGTGCCGCCCCTTCCCCTTGGCCGCCCCAAGCACCTGCTTGCTGGGCTGGTGCCTGGAGCCGGCCCTGATTACAGGTTAATCCTGGCTTTACAAAGTTTTATAAACTGTGAGGTGCTGATTATATCACAAGTGAAAACATGGAGACGGAGTTTACGACAGCAGGAAACCACACTGCCTCCTGCAGAGCCAGCGGTGGATGACGGCCCCAGCACAGCAAAATACCTGCTTTATCCTAAGCAAATGAGCAGTTCTGTTGACTTCCAGGAAGCCACTTGGGACTTGGAGTCACCAGGACTATTCATTTGCTTAAAACGAAGTATGTGCGTAAAGGCTTTGCGGGAATGGGCCCTTGGCTGTATCTCCAGCACAGCACAACTATTCCTGTCCAGTTGGATGGACAGTGCACAGATTCCAGCTGTTTCTTTTTAACAATGGCTCCACAATGTGCATCCCGGTCTCACCAATGGGCATCACAGGGCTGTGATGCTGGCAGTCCCGGTGCCAGCTCATGCCAAGGCCCCTAGGTCCCAACTGAACGCTGATGAATGCAGAGCTGGAAACCCGTCTGGCTCAGCTGTGGGGTAGGATTATTAAAATAGGTATTAAACTTATAAAAATGTGTTAACACTTTATGAAGTATTTGTAGAATGCTGCATGTATTAATCTCGCTTAACATCTGTAGCTCATGTTATAAGGTCACATTAAGTGTTGGCGTTGTCAACCTCTAGCTGTGTAAGTCATCAAACAGGAAAGGAGCTTTAACTCATGTAAAATGCTGGCTTCCTGCAGAAAGGGTTAGGCCCTGCCCTGCTCTGCAAGAAGGCCCATTGAAACCAAATGAGCCATTGTGAAATATCAAAGAACAA